TTGAGATATTATAATTTCGTCATTTTTAAAATTCGCTGTCCTGGGATTTTCAGTTCACTGATTACGTATTAAGAAGTGAATTTTTTTTTTAGTATAATCGATAAATTATAGAAAACTGAAAATAAATTTTTCTTTAAATATTGTTTCAAAAATTTATTTGTTACAAAAAAATATATGATAAAATTTATTACTTCTATTATATATGAATTATTTAATTGAGTTTGATTGCTTCAAGAATAAAAAAGTCACGAAGCGGAAATTCGTGTATGCAAAGCGGGAATTATCGATATTCCTGTCGTTTTTTACAATGGGCAACTTATGAATATTTTTCAGAGAGAAATTTAAATTTTCAAATTCACCCCTCTCGTTCTCTTTCTTTCTTTTTTTTCTTTATTTGAAAATCACTTGTCTGCGTTACGTTGGATGATAAAATCTTACAGACAGATGACATTATCTAGAACGAAGAAGGGTTTCTTTCTTCTTTTGACATTTTTTTTTTTTTTTTTTTTTTTGAGAAAAAGAACCACTTCAGGAAGCAAAATCTAAAAATGGAAGAAAAAAATGTATATATGTATATGCTATTATAGAAATAGAAAGAAGAGAAATTTATTTGAACGGATGAAAAGAATAATATTTGTATATATTACAAATTTCAACTTTTCTATATTATATATTTGTAATGTATTCTACCAGAGATTAGATTTTTATTTGATACGATATGAAAATTGAGCCTTTGTTTGAAAACCTCCTGTTTTCTTTCAGAAAATTGAAAAAGAAGATTTATGCACACTTTTAAAATATGTAAACTAAATATATATGTGCCATTCCATGAGTTTTTTTTATCACTTTTCGAAGTAACCTTTCCAAATTTAATGAAACATTATTTTTATAATATTTATTAATATAAAGGTCCAAAATAATTTAAAAAATACAACAATAAATAATGAAAAAAATTCACTTTTCTTCTGCACCACCAAATAAATTAGTTTAAAGATAAAAATTTTCCTTATTTTTCAAGCTTTAATAGCGCACAAGAAAAATGAGGTAATTCGAAATAGTTAATTTACAATGTTTGTTTTCAATTTTGTATTTTATTTATTGTGAAACGTCTGCTATAGCTGCGTGCGACGTTCGGAAGTTGTCGCTCTCGTTATTGAGCAAAAGCTCATTACACTAGCGTAGTAGAAAACATGTTGTGTAAAAAGTGAGGTTATGTTGTCATTGAACGAAAAGTAAAAAATTCTGGTTATCACATTGAATGGTTTTTCATTCTTACTTTGCAGTAAAAAATCATAAAAAAAACATTTTTGAAGGATGAAAATCTCACTTTTCACACATGTTTTTTTTACTACGCTAGTGTAATGAGCTTCTGCTCAATAAGGAGAGCGACAACTTCCAAACGTTGCGCGCAGCAATAGCAGACGTTTCACAATAAATAAAATACAAAAAAGAAAACAAACATTGTTTAATAAATTGTGATTTAACTATTTCGAATTACCTCATTTTTCTTGTGCGCTATTAAAGCTTGAAAAATAAGGAAAATATTGATCTATAAACTAATTTATTTTGTGGTGCAGAAGAAAAGTGGAATTTCACTGAAAATCAGTTAAAAATGACTGAAAAATTGACCGATATTTCAGTCATTTTTTACTGATTGAAATCGCGCGAATAGATCCACTGATTTTCAGTCAATTTTCACTGATTCAGTTTTAGAGAGAATTTTAACTCACAGAAAAAACATGGACTCATTTTTCTTGCAACGCCATTTTGAAATCGGTATAAAATTAAGTAAATGACAAACTTCAAGTTACTCAATTTGTAATTTCAAATTTTTAGGTTGGTTATCATTTTTAAACTAATTTACAATTTAAATAATTTTTTTCTAATATTTCAATAATATTAAATATATTCTTAACGTCTGTACGTATATTTAATATTTTTCAAGTAAATAATATTAATCATTATTTCTCTTAAATAATGATTAATTTTAACAGTTTTCAAATTTCGCGCCATTGTTTAGGTTGGTAGTACCGTTTTTGCTGTCAAAACACATGTTTTTGCGTCCATAACCTAGAAATATGTTTCTCTAACTTAAAATTGATTTTTGATACGTATTACATTGAATTTTGTATTTTTTAATTCGTTTATTAACAATTAAATTTTTTTTATTACATATTTTTTATTACTTCTTTTAATACATTATGCACTATACCCTTGAAGCAAAAACAGATAAGACAAAAAATTGTTTTTTTATAATACCATAAAAGTAAAAATGGAAGTGAAAATTAGAAGCAGTGAAATTTAAAAACTTGTTGAATAATGATTAGCATTGTCAAAAAGATCTTCATTTCAAAATTATATTCTCTAATGTAATTTTCAAATATTCAAACATTGTATAAACTCGAGAAACACTATTGTCACATATTTATGTTAAACAGTAATAAATTTTGATTTGTCAAAATTACATTATTAATTTAATTTTCAAAAAGTTAAAGATAATTTCTTCTATATAAATGTTAAAATAAACTTGTGGATATATGTGGCGGACGTATAATAAAAATTTATCGATTATTTTCAAATTAACGATAGAGTGTTTGCACAATGCTGATAAAAGTGTGAATAATAGCTGACCTCTCAATATATTTTATGTAAAAGCTGAAAGTTTTAATATCAGAGTGAATATAGTTCTCGAAATTCGACAGGTTTTGTTAATGAAGTGATTATATTATTAAACACACATCAATAAAATTCCAAGAGGACGTGACATTTATTCTCTTATAAGTTCATTATGACATTATTGAATCATCACAAGTCTCTTATATATTATTATTCGCCTTTTTTTTTGGTATGTTTTGACGCATTAAAGGCAAAAAATGTTAGGTTATGTTTACTTTTTTTTTTGTTAGTGATAGTTTTAGCTTTAAACGTTAATTTTTAATTATGTAAAATCAAAATCAGTTTCTATTGACTTTTTTTTGGATCTAATGAACACTTAAAGGTTATGTGGGCAAAGGACGTTTTTTTGTGGTTTGAAACTTTTTCTGAAATAAAAAATGATTTCGAGGTCAAATTTTGGAAAAATGATTTTGTTTGGTACAAGAAATCTCGCTATTCTTCTCATTTACTAATAACTTAACGCGAAAATAATAAAAATAAAGCAATAAATAGTAAAATAATGTATTTAATCGTAGTTCATTCAGCGTCCACTCGCTCGAATTGGCGCGTCTGTGTATGCGCCGCCATGTTTCTTTTCATTTTCGTTTAAAACTCTCACTTTTTAAACATAATTATTTAATAATTTAACTCAAAATTATGTATTTTTCGGAGAACAGCGAGATTCCTTGTACTCTAATCTATCATCCCTCGTAATTTTAGACAAAAATCTTTTCTCATTTTAGAGTGAAATAATGTATACTACCAAAACATATTTTCCCATACTAGGTCACGTGGGAGGTTCCCACATACCCTTAAACAATTTGATTAATTCAATAATCACAAACATAACCTAAAATTTTTTGCCTCTTTGGTGTCTTATCTAAGGGTTTAAATTATTTAATATGTAATTTTTGAATTTTAATATTTAATTTATTTTCTATCATATTAATCTTAAAATATTTTACATATATTGATCAAAGGCTGTAAAAAATAGGAAATAAAAAAAACTTCTATTTCTTACGAATATAGACTTATTTTGATGTTGCAGCAATATTGTTACGATGGGTCGAAAGCGGTGAAATGCACTTAACGCATAGTGTTCTTGAGGTTAGGCCATTAATGCTGGTAATTGAAGGGTAACATTTTCAAACAGCCTCCTTCATAGTTGACCTATACATTAGGTCGTAAATTTAAGCTTACCTCTTCATTTTTTTTTTTTTTTTTTTTTTTTATCGAGAAACTCTTAAGTACCTTATAAATTCACAAACTCGTGTCAAAAATTCTTTAGAACATCATAGAGAATTTTTATATATTTGAAATAATAGTATGCGAACTGATATTTTTTTCCCAGCATACGGAAAAACAAAATTCTCTCCAATAGAGCTAATTTAGAATTATATTTTTAAGAATATTAACAAATAATAATAACAATACGGACAATAACTATAATTATTAATAATAATAATAATCATAACTTGTTTTTTATATTAAAGAGAAATAAAAATTTATTAATTGAATTGTCAATAATGTTAAACATATATCTATATTTGTCTCATTTACATAATTAAATTTCTGAAATTCAATATTCTCGCTTGTCACTCCCGCATCCGCATTTGTAATAATTTTTTTTTTTTCTTCGAGAAACTACAAATACTGCGTTGACAGAGTGTTTGTGACATAAAATGTAATTCAGAGCCTCCCATTGGGAAATTGTCCCATGAGATATGCCACCTGCTGCTTTTTTCCTTTTAAACCGGAAAATGGTAGGGGGAAGTTGGATTTTCCCATGGTATCGAACTCATTTCATTAATGATTTATCAATATACTTTTTCTTCTACAATTTTAATTTGTACACCAAGGGAAAGGAATTTAAAGATTTAATGCAGCAATTGAAAAATGAAAAATTTTAGACTGATTAAATTTTTCCTTCAATATTTTAATTAATTGTATTTTGCAATTGTAAATTTTATCACAAAACATTTTTTTTTTTACCACGAATAAAAGAACTTGATTTTTTTATTTACATATAATTATGATTTTTTATATTATATTAAAAGATTTTTAATTTAAATTTTTAGAATTTTATTTTAGAGTTTTAGACAGGAAGTAAAATAAGAAAACTTATAACAAAATTACCGCTGTTGAATAACACATGAAAGGTACTGAAAATAGTCTAATTATTACTACAGTGAAACAAACAATATAACAAATAAAATTCAAATATTTATACAGATGGATAAATACTATTTATGCAGTTGTTACACACACACTTTTAGTTTAAAAATTGTATTCACAACTATCAGAACATAGAATTTTGAGGCATATACATAAAAATAATATTACAATTCTTTCAATATAAAAATATAATGAAAATTATTTATATAAGTTGGATTAAATTTTTTTTTAAATTATGACTATCAGGAAAAAATATCCATCATTAAAGTAACAAAGTTCACAAAGTAGGTACAAAAAAAAAATTATTAACATTTTCACTTTTATTCAATATTTCCCTGAATTAAAAATTCATTCATTCTTTCAGACTAGTGAGAAATTATTAAAATATTACCACTTTAATGAAAAGAAGACTTTTTATTAAACATCACAGTAAAATCTTCCTAACGTTAAAATGAATGGTACTAACATTTTTATTAGCCCACTGGAAAATACACAATTCTTATCCATTACAAATTTGATTATTATACTGGGAGATTTACTGCACAGCGATACACAATTTTCTTCACTTCAGAATATATTTGAACCAATTCCAATGGTCAATGCTCTTTGTGAATTTCTAGATAAAAATATTCAAAGGGAGGATAGAATATTAGCTCTAGGACATAAACTATTACAGGAGACGGATTATTATGGTTCAAAAAAAAATGAAACTCTTCATTTAGAATTTGTTAATTCAATGCTAAATCATATTATTGCAAACACTGTATTTTCAAAATTTGGCAACACTTTTGGATATTTGTCTGCAATAGTAAATTCAACAAATAATCTCACATTAGAATCGATAAAAGAAAGTACTGCAAAAAATCTTCATAAACAAATATTTTTTAGCGATAATGGAAAGTTTTTCACTCTCTCCAATATAACCATCGCAAGAATAACACAAAACATTATCTTTCCACTTTTCCCTAAACCAAAGAAGACAATGGAAATTATTCATTTCAAATACATATACGCTCAAGCCGGATGGTTATTATTACAAAATGTTCAAGAAAACATTCATAATATCAGTTTTTCTAAATTAATTCAACTGGCACTAAACGTAGAACAAGAAGTAATGCAAGGTAACATAGATCCAAGTGCGCTGCAAATTTTTCAGCTACCTGCATTATTGTACTACACTCATCACAAGAAAAATAGTATCAAGAGAAAAAACTTAAAAAGTATTATGGTAAGCACCAATTTTTGGCAAAGTATATATAGTCAATTTTTTACAGATTTGAATGTGACAATTGAAAAAATGAGTATTTTCCATAAACATAATCCATCTTATCAGTTTCAAACAGCATTTGCCAATTTTCAAAATCGAACTGCTCTAGCAGAGAGTATTTTGCGAAAAAACTGTCCAAATATAACTAATTATAAAAGCAAAATTAATGATTACAAAAATAATCCAACGGATTATTATTGTAATAAGCAACTACAGCCAAACGTTAATGAAATATTCTTTAAACAAAATAGAATCATTGCCGAAAAGTATTACTACTATGAAAAGCATTTAATTAACCATGTATTTGATGAGGATTTAAAAAAATTTATCGATCAAACAAACGTGACAATTAAACCGATTAAAGATTTTTGGAACAATCAGTGTTTCAGATGTGCTATCCTCTCGGGTAGACCGATACTAAGTGATGGAATAGATTTATTTCAAATTAGCGACGGAGGAGAGAAGAAAATGATATATGCTTTAATTCGTAGTACAAATGGTATGAAACTGGTGCCTGCTACAGATATGAATTCGTTTTTACAGAATGAAATAGGACTAAATACTAGGGCGAAATTGGACATACCTTTTATGGCTGAAGATATGAAATCCGCATCGGAGGATGATAATTTTAATACATTTGCAACATACATTGCTAAATATAGAGAAAAGAAATTTTTGGCTAATCTAAAAAGTGCAGGTTACGAGGCTACAACAGTTGAAAATGTGGCTAATTTTTTTAAAAATCTGATTCCATTTTACTCTTGTGCTGAAGCGGTGCAGAACTCCGATATTACAACACACACAGCTGTTATGGCTTGTATCTTCGATTCTTTAGTATTTTTACCAGTTTTTGGACTTGGAACATCCGCTGGTATGAAAATTACTTCGGCCACAATGAGATCAACGGCATTAAGATTAGGTGCACATATGGAGACGTTGACTTTAAAAGAAGCCTTTAAAGCTATAATGAAAATTGGATTTCGTATTATTGCCACTGACATCATTGACTCCTTCTCACAAATAATCACAAAGGAATTCATTCAAAATTTTGGAATTACGATACTTCGTTCTTTGGATCCGGGAATTGAGTTCTCGTACATGATAACTAAAGCTGGTGTAAAAACGCTTGTAAAAAGCTATAAGTTTCTGAAAAGTCAATTTTCGGTTAAATCTTTGGAACATTTGAATAGTGTCACTAGTGTTAAAATTGGAACTTACAAGGGATATGATGTACATGTGCAGAGTATTACCGGTAATGATGGTTTGGGATTAAAAACAATTGATTATCAAGGTAGAACTGTAGAATTAAGAAAAATTCGAGGCTATGCTGATGAAATGCCTGTTGTTGTGATTAATAACTCAAAAAGAAATAATAAATACAAAATAATAGATTTAGAAACGGGGGAGCTTGGTGAAACAGTATGGGAGGAAAAAGATCAAATTTTGGTTGTTACTGATAAACCATTAAGATATCATTTGAAAATTATTCAAAAAGAAGGATTTGGTGGTAGAGGTGTTTTAAATAGTGGACTGTATAGAAGCAATAGGCTTAGTCAAATTGAAGAATTGAGAAATTCAGCATTATCTTCAATTAGAAATGAAAATCATAAGAAAATGATGGAAGAATTATTAAAATGTTATGTTTTTAAATATTCGACAAATACTGCTGAAAATTTTGTTAAATATTGGTTAAAGCATAATAAGTTTCCAGAATGGAGTGAAACTTATAAATTAGTAGACGCGGATCTTCATTGGAAAGTAAGATTTGTTAGTTTTCTTGAAGAATTGAGGTTCAACACTTTAAACATAGTTGATGGTGTATTTAATATTTATGGACAGCAGTATGTGAGGGACGTAATAAAAGTTGATCCAAAAATGTTGTTTAAATTTTATACTGAACGCATGCTTTTTGATTCTATTACATTTTATGATCAATTTGCAATTGCCAATTATGTAATATCCGGATACAATAGAGTATACCTTGATGATTTAGAAGCTCTGCATATGAGACGTGCGCTTTATACAGCTGCATTAAGGCAATATGATAATTCTGCTGTGTTTTCTAAATATATTGGTGAATGTTTCTACACATTGGAATCTAAAGTTTACAGTGATATCTTTCCAATAGAACTTGGTAAAATCATGGACATAAATCACTTTACGGTTTTGTCTCTTCAAAAAAATGAGTTGCTTTCTATATTAGAAACTGATAGATATCACCTAAAATTATTGCACGAAATAAAACTTGATCATCATTGTTTAGCAGTATTTGCGAAGGAATATTTACCTTTTAGAACTCAAGATGTTATTCTTCTTCCTGGAATTAAATTACAATTAAGTGATTGGCAATATAATTTATTTCATGGACAGTCTGTAGTTGTGTTAAAATGGAGAAATATTGATTTAGATGAAGCCAAATGGCTGACAGAAACAACAAATAAAATTAAATACATAATGAATCAAGAGCAAACTGCACTAGAACTTGAAAAGAATATTCTTAATGACTTTGATACAAATCTATTACCACATTAATTTTTCTTTGCAAAATATCTTATGTTGTTTGATTTATTTCCAATGTTTTATATTAATATCCAATGCGATGGATTATAATAATTACTAATTTTAATAATTATGATGATAATATCGAACATTTCAAATCAGGTTGATTAGTAATTTTAATTTTATTGTCACGAAAATTTGTTTCAACAGAGTCACGCGGAATATCAGATTCTGAGTTTATTAAACTTTCTTATCAGTAAAGACCATCAAACTTTTTTTAGTATTCTCATTATTCTATTATTTCATGTACTGTGTATTTAATACTATAAGAATGTGTAAATATTGTTTTTAACGAAGCTTGACGTTAGAATTTATATAAAAATTGGTAACCAATTAATTAATTAAAATTAATTAATAATAGTGAAGGACAATGGATTTACTTGATTTTTACACACATTTTTTGTATTTAATTTTATTTTTTTGCATTTTTTCCTTCGATTTTTTGGATCTCTGATCACAAATCTAAAAAAGAATTAACTTTTTTAAAGTTAACAACTCTCCAACTGACTGTAAATATATTTAAAAGTTATTTAAATTAATGTTATGAATAAATGTTTCTTTTGCATAAATTATTGCATATAATTTTATTCTTTAATTGTGTTATTATTATACTATTTTACTGTAATTTAAAAATTTCATTAATGTTTAATTAAATTTTTTCATTTTTTTGAACGTCTTCTAATATATTTTAGAGCATTACATTGTTATAAAATAAACATTAATAGTAATATGAAATTTTATTATAAAATCTTATCAATTATATGTAATGAATTATTTATTGAATGAATAAAAAAATAAACTTAAATATTAAAATATTTTGGGGTGTTTGGTCAATAATAATTCTAATAGATAAAATTGTAAAATTAAATATTTCATTCGCACATTTTATCAGTCTGAATAAAAAAAAAATTAAATATTTATACAGATGGATAAATAATATTTATATAGTTGTTATACATATTTTTAAATTTGAAGTTTTAACTATTGTTATTATATTAAGTTAATAACTTAATAGATCTTTTAGTAATAAATTTTTAAAATGTAGTACAATTATTTTAGTATAAAAATGCAGTAATAGTTATTTCATTAAATCTCAGTTCGATGTAATAAATTTTTAAGAACTATGACAATAAAGTAATAATGAAAACAATGAAATGAACAAATTCTCAATGTATGTATAAAAAATTTATTTATGTAATTATTTTCTGAATCAACAAATAAAAAAATTTTTTTTTTCAGAATAGCGAGACATTTATACAAAATCTAATGATTTTACCATTTTTACTAAGAAAATTAAAAATTAATCTATTAAAATAACAAATTCCAAACATTAAAATGAATAAAACTAACATTCTTATTAGACCACTGGAAAATGTACAATTTTTATCTATTACAAATTTAATTATTGTACTGGGAGATTTATTGCAAAACGATACAGAATTTTCTGTACTTGAGGATAAATTCGAACCAATTCCAATTGTCAATTATCTTTGTGAATTTCTGGATAAAAATATTCAAAAGGAAAATAAAATATTAGCTCTAGGACATAAATTATTGCAAGAAACGGACTTATATGGATCCAAATTAAACGAAACTCTTGATTTGAAGTTCGTTAATGCTGTTTTAAATCATATTATTGAAAACACTGTATTTTCAAAATTTGGCAATACTTTTGGATACTTGTCCGCAATAGTTAATTCAGCAAATGATCTAAGGATAAGATCGGTAAAAAAAAGAATTATAAAAAATCTTCATCAGCAAATATTTCTGAGCGATAATGGAGCATTTTTTACCCTCTCTAATACAACCATCGCGAGAATAACAAAAAATATTATCTTTCCACTATTCCCCAAACCAAAAAAGAATATGAAAATTATTCATTTCAAATACATATACGCTCAAGCTGGATGGTTATTTTTACAAAATGTTGAAAAAAACATTCGTAAAATCACATTTTCTAAATTAATTCAACTGGCACTAAATGTACAACAAGAAGTTATGCAAGGTAACATAGATCCAAGTGCGCTGCAAATTTTTCAACTACCTGCACTATTGTACTATACTCATCACAAGAAACATGGAATTAAGAGAAAAAATTTAAAAAGCATTATGGTAAGCACAATTTTTTGGCAAAAAGTATATAGACGATTTTTTGCAGATTTGAATGTCACAATTGAAAAAATGAGTATTTTCCATAAACGAAATCCATCTTTTCAGTTTCAAACAGCATTTGCCAATTTTCAAAATCGAACTGCTTTGGCAGAGACTATTTTGCGTAAAAATTGTCCAAATATAACTAATTATAAAAGCAAAATTAATGATTACAAAAATAATCCAACGGATTATTATTGTAATAAGCAACTACTGCCAAACGTTAATGAAATATTCTTTAAACAAAATAGAATCATTGCCGAAAAGTATTACTACTATGAAAAGCATTTAATTAACCATGTATTTGATGAGGATTTAAAAAAATTTATCGATCAAACAAACGTGACAATTAAACCGATTAAAGATTTTTGGAATAATCAGTGTTTCAGATGTGCTATCCTCTCGGGTAGACCGATACTAAGTGATGGAATAGATTTATTTCAAATTAGCGACGGAGGAGAAAAGAAAATGATATATGCTTTAATTCGTAGTACAAATGGTATGAAACTGGTGCCTGCTACAGATATGAATTCGTTTTTACAGAATGAAATAGGACTAAATACTAGGGCGAAATTGGACGTACCTTTTATGGCTGAAGATATGAAATCCGCATCGGAGGATGATAATTTTAATACATTTGCAACATACATTGCTAAATATAGAGAAAAGAAATTTTTGGCTAATCTAAAAAGTGCAGGTTACGAGGCTACAACAGTTGAATATGTGGCTAATTTTTTCAAACATCTGATTCCGTTTTACTCTTGTGCTGATGCGATACATGACTCTGATACTTCAACACACACAGCTGTTATGACTTGTATCTTCGATTCTTTAGTATTTTTTCCAGTTTTTGGACTTGGAGCATCCGCTGGTATGAAAATTACTTCGGCCACAATGAGATCAACAGCATTAAGATTAGGAGCACATATGGAGACGTTGACTTTAAAAGAAGCCTTTAAAGCTATAATGAAAATTGGATTTCGTATTATTGCCACTGACATCATTGACTCATTCTCACAAATAATCACAAAGGAATTCATTCAAAATTTTGGTATTACGATACTTCGTTCTTTGGATCCGGGAATTGAGTTTTCGTACATGTTAACTAAAGCTGGTGTAAAAACGCTTGTGAAGAGCTGGGAGTTTCTCAGAAAGCAATTTTCGGTTAATTCCTTTGAACAACTGAAGAGTGTCACTAGTGTTAAAATCGGAACTTACAAGGGATATGATGTACATGTGCAGAGCTTTACTGGTAAAGAGGGTTTTGGATTAAAAACAATTGATTATCATGATAGAATTGTAGAATTAAGAAGAATTCGTGGTTATGCTGATGAAATGCCTGTAGTTGTGATTAATAACTCAAAAAGAAATAATAAATACAAAATAATAGACTTAGAAACTGGGGAGCTTGGTGAAACAGTATGGGAGGTAAAAGATCAAATTTTGGTTGTTGTTGATAAACCATTAAGAAATCATTTGAAAATTATTCAAAGAGAAGGATTTGGTGGTAAAGGTGCCGTGAGAACTGGACAGATAAGAAATAATGCTTTTAATGCTGTTGAATTAAAGAAAACTGAAGCATTAAATTTAGTGAAGGCTCCAAAGTTTAAGAAAATAGTTGATGACGGATTAAGTAATCACGTTTTTTATTTAGGATCGAAATTTAATGCTATTAGTTTTGTTCAACATTGGTTAACGTTTAAGAAATTTCCAGAGTGGAGTCATGCTTATAAATTAGCGGACCCAGAACTTTATTCGAAGATAAGGTTTCATATTTTTCTTGAAGATATTGAATTAAATCAAATAGAGGCAGTTAATGGTGTGTTTAATCATTATGGACAGCAATATGTGAGAGATGTGATTGAAGTTGATCCAGTAATATTATTTAAGTTCTATAAACGTAATATGCTTTATGATTCAATTTCATTTAATGATCAATTTGCACTTGGAAATTATGTAATATCTGGATATAAGAGAGTACATTTAGACGATTTTGAAGGTAGGCATATGAGACGTGCTCTTTATACAACTGCGGTTAGACAGTTTGATAATAACATTGCATTTTCTAAATTTATTGATAACTTTTTGTACACTGTGGATATAAGACATATCAATGAAATGACTTCAACACATATTGGTAAAATTATGGATATAAATCAATTTATGGTTCTGTCTCTTAGCAAGAATGACTTGCTTTCACGCTTTAATGGTGTAATTGATAATTCTCTAATAAGAGTTTTGCATGAAATAAAACTTGATCATCACTGTCTAGCTGTATTTATGATGGAATATTTGCCGTTTAGGACTCATGATTCCATTCTTCTACCTGGTGTCAAATTACGTTTAAATTCCATGAAATTTGATACAATTGAAGGAGAAAATGTATTTGTGATAAACTGGAAGAATGTTGAATTTGACAAAGCCAAATGGCTGGCAGAAACAACGAATAAAATTAAGCACATAATGGATCAAGAGCAAGCTGCACTACAAGTTGAAAATGATATTCTTAATTCCTTTGATACAAGTCTATTAAGGCGTTGAATTTTTCGAAATATGTTATGTTGTTTTTATTATTTTATATTTATTTTTAAAACAGTTTCTTAATACATTGTTGACAATTATTTTTTATATTTAAAACAATTATTTTAGAGGTTGAAGTGACCTTTAGTTCCGTTTGAGGGAATGAGTTAAATAATTTTCCAAATTTCTAAAATTATTCCATTAACTTTTTTGATACTTAGACAAAAAATTCTGACAAAGAAAAACGAACTGTTCCACGTGCAAAAATAATAGGTTTGTAATGGGAAATTAAATATTTATATAGATAGATAAATAATATTTATGTAGTTGTTACATTAATTTTTTTTTAATTTCAATTCATATTCAGAACTATTCATGTATGAAACATTTATGTCATATATTTAAAATATAAGCACAAATAATTTAGTATAAAGTAATATAAATTGTTTCATTAAATCGAAATTTGTTATAGTATAATATTAAAAAATTATATCCACAAACAAAAAATTTTAAACAATAAAGTGAAAAAAATTCTATAAGTATGTACACAAAATTTTATTAATATCATTATTTTCATTAAACATATCCTCAATTTAAAAATTAATACATTCTTCCAGATAAGTGAGAAATTATTTTTCCAAAAATGTTATTATTTTAATGAAAAGAAGACTTACTAGCTATTAAAGCAAAAGTCTCCCTAACGTTAAAATGAAGCATACTAACATTTTTATTAGCCAAGTGGTAAATTTGCAATTCTCATCTATTACAAATTTAATTATTGTACTGGGAGATTTATTACACAACGATACAGAATTTTCTGCACTTGAGGAGAAATTTGAACCAATTCCGATTGTCAATTATCTTTGTGATTTTATGGATAAAAATATTCAAGAGGAAAATAAAATATTAGCTCTAGGACATAAACTATTGCAAGAAACGGACTTATATGGATCCAAATTAAACGAAACTCTTGATTTCAAGTTCGTTAATGCTGTTTTAAATCATATTATTGAAAACACTGTATTTTCAAAATTTGGCAATACTTTCGGATACTTGTCCGCGATAGTTAATTCAGCAAATAATCTCACATTAGAATCGATAAAAGAAAGAATTATAAGAAATCTTCATCAGCAAATATTTCTAAACGATAATGGAACGTTTTTCACCCTCTCCAATATAACCATTGCGAGAATAACTGAAAACATTATCTTTCCACTTTTCCCCAAAACAAAGAAGTATATAAAAATTATTGATTTTAAATACCTTTATGCTCAAGCCGGATGGTTATTATTACACAATGCTCAAAAAAATACTAATGATACTAGTTTTTCTAAATTAATTCAACTGGGACTTGACGTAGAACAAGGAGTATTTCAAGGTAACATAGATCCAAGTGCGCTGCAAATTTTTAAACTACCTGCACTGTTGTACTATACTCATCACAAGGAACATGGAATCAAGAGAAAAAATTTAAAAAGCATTATGGTAAGCACAATTTTTTGGCAAAAAGTATATAGACGATTTTTTGCAGATTTGAATGTCACAATTGAAAAAATGAGTATATTCCATAAACGAAATCCATCTTTTCAGTTTCAAACAGCATTTGCCAATTTTCAAAATCGAACTGCTTTGGCAGAGACTATTTTGCGTAAAAATTGTCCAAATATAACTGATTATGAAAGCGAAATTAATGATTACAAAAATAATCCAACGGATTATTATTGTAATAAGCAACTACAGCCAAACGTTAATGAAATATTCTTTAAACAAAATAGAATCATTGCCGAAAAGTATTACTATTATGAAAAGCATTTAATTAACCATGTATTTGATGACGATTTAAAAAAATTTATCGATCAAACAAACGTGACAATTAAACCGATTAAAGATTTTTGGAATAATCAGTGTTTGAAATGTGCTATCCTTTCCCGCAGACCGATACTAAGTGATGGAATAGATTTATTTCAAATTAGCGACGGAGGAGAGAAGAAAATGATATATGCTTTAATTCGTAGTACAAATGGTATGAAACTGGTGCCTGCTACAGATATGAATTCGTTTTTACAGAATGAAATAGGACTAAATACTAGGGCGAAATTGGACGTACCTTTTATGGCTGAAGATATGAAATCCGCATCGGAGGATGATAATTTTAATACATTTGTAACATACATTGCTAAATATAGAGAAAAGAAATTTTTGGCTAATCTAAAAAGTGCAGGTTACGAGGCTACAACAGTTGAAAATGTGGCTAATTTTTTTAAAAATCTTGTTCCATTTTACTCTTGTGCTGAAGCGATGTTGAACTCCGATACTGCAACACACACAGCTGTTATGGCTTGTATTTTCGATTCTTTAGTATTTTTACCAGTTTTTGGACTTGGAACATCCGCTGGTATGAAAATTACTTCGGCCACAATGAGATCAACGGCATTAAGATTAGGTGCACATATGGAGACGTTGACTTTAAAAGAAGCCTTTAAAGCTATAATGAAAATTGGATTTCGTATTATTGCCACTGACATCATTGACTCATTCTCACAAATAATCACAAAGGAATTCATTCAAAATTTCGGAATTACGATACTTCGTTCTTTGGATCCCGGAATTGAGTTCTCGTACGTCTTAACTAAAGCTGGTGTAAAATCGCTTTTGAAGAGCTGGGAGTTCCTCAGAAAGCAATTTTCGGTTAAATTCTTGGATCATCTGAAAAGTGTTAAAATTGGAACTTACAAGGGTTATGATGTACATGTGCAGAGCTTTACTGGTAAACAGGGGTTTGGATTAAAAACAATTGATTACCAAGATAGAATTGTAGAATTAAGAAGAATTCGTGGTTATGCTGATGAAATGCCTGTAGTTGTGATTAATAACTCAAAAAGAAGTAATAAATACAAAATAATAGATCTAAAAACAGGGGAGCTTGGTGAAACAATATGGGAGGAAGGAGATCAAACTTTGATTGTTGCTGATAAACCATTAAGATATCATTTGAAAATTATTCAAAGGGAAGGTTTTGGTGGTAAAGGTGCCCTGAAAAACTGTCGGTTCAGATTTAAGGCATACTATGATGATGAAAGGAGTAAATCTGATGCATTAAGTATAGTATGGAGTATGAAGCTTAAGGCACAGATATATAATTCTTTAAAAAATCATGTTTTTAATGACGAAATGAGATCAGCTAAAGAATTTGTGGAGTATTGGTTAATTCATGGAAACTTTCCGGCGTGGAGCATATCTTATAAATTAGTGGATACTGAATTTTATTTTAAATTAAGATTTGGTAGTCTTCTTGAAGATCTTAAGTTAAGTAGTGAAAGAGCAATCAAAGGTGTGTTTGATCTTTATGGACAGCAGTATGTGAGGGATGTGATAGATGTTGATGCAGAAATTTTATTTAATTTTTATGAAAACCGTATGCTGTATGGTGTTATTTCATTTAATGATCAATTTGCAATTGCTAATTATGTAATATCAGGATACAATAGAGTATACCTAGATGATTTAGAAGCTTTACATATGAGACGTGCGCTTTACACAACTGCGTTAAGGCAATATGATAATTCTGTTAGGTTTTCTAATTTTATTAATGATTTTTTGTACACAGTGGATCTAAAACTTGCCGCTGATGTATTTCCATTAAATATAGGTAAAATTATGGATATAAATCAGTTTATGGTTTTGTCTCTTAAGAAAAATCATTTGCTTTCACGCTTTATAGGGGTTGTTGATAATTCTCTAGTGAAAGTTTTGCATCAAATAAAACTTGATCATCATTGTTTAGCAGTATTTGTGCAGGAATATTTGCCATTTAGAGTTGAAGATGTCGTTCTTCTTCCTGGAATTAAATTACGTTTAAATTACTGGGAATATGATACAATTAATGGAGAGAATATAGTTGTGATAAATTGGAAGAATGTTGAGTTTGATAAAGCAAAATGGTTAACAGATACAACGAATAAAATTAAATGCATAATGGATCAAGAGCAAGTTGCAATAGAACTTGAAAATGATGTTCTTAATGACTTTGATACAGCTCTATTACCATATTAATATGTAATTATTTAGATACTGTAATATAATGACGACTCTTTTCTTGAGGTGATTAATAACAATTTGTACTCCGTAGAACTTAAACATTGTATGCTTAAAACTAGTTTACAATAAAATAATATATACATATAATATGGATATTTATACAGCTGTTAAATATTTATGTTTATTTTCAAGATACATTTATCTATTTATGAATGTCTACTTTAAAAGAATAAAATTAATATTTTCAATCTAAAGTTACAATGGAAATAATTTTTAACTATTTTTTATAAAATTGTCAAACAAATTTCTTGATTCTAATACAAAGTAGTAATGAAAAAAATTATTAATTTTTTAAATCTTTAGATTTGATTCTGCATTACAATAACAAAATTAATACATGGTAAATTAAAGAAGAAGAAGGGGTAGTCAACTACGATATTCCAGGTACACAGGTTAGATAATCTTATATATTTTATAGATATTCCCAGGTATTTCTCTATTCATTACATTTCACGCAGCTACTAACATAATTTTCAATTTCATTCAAAAGTTTTAATTCAATTAAGCCTTCACTCCGAATTTCTAAAGTTAAATTGCAAAATATTTTCTAATTTTTCTACATGTTTTCTGGAAATACATTCTTCATACGTGCTAAATCAATGTAGACTACCCCTTGAAGATAACAATATTAATTAATATAAATGAGATTCATGTCAAAAATTATAGATTACTCAAATACATTATAACTTTTTTGACAATTCTTACATTATATACTAAAATCAATAGAAATTCTTTAAATATATAATTCATTCATTCTTTCAGATTGTTCATAAGTTAATACCTTAATTTATTCACCAGAAGATAAATTGCTTGCATGCTGATTTGCAAAATTCAATAGATTATATTTGTCATCAACATCAAAATGAATAACACTAATATTTTTAGTAGCCCATGGGAAAATACACAATTTTTTTCCGTTATGAAAACAATAATTATACTCGGTAAAATATTGTACAACGATACAGAATTACATACAATAGAAATTGAACCTATCCCCATTATCAATGCTCTCTGTACATTTCTGGACAAAAATCGTTATAACGAAATTAAAATTTTAGATCTAGGACATAAATTACTGCAAGACACGGAATTCTATGGATCAAAACAAAACGAAAGTCTTCATATAAGATACGTAAATGCCATGCTGAACAATATCATTGCAAACACTGTATTTTCAAAATTTGGCAATACATTTGGATATTTGTCAGCAGTAGTAAATTCAACACGTGATTTAAAATTGCCAACTGTAAAAGAGAAAATAATAAAAAATCTGCACAGGCAAACATTTCTGAATGACAATGGCACGTTTAGCTTGCTCACTAATACAACAATTGAAAGAATAACAGAAAACATAATTTTTCCACTTTTCCCACAACCAGAAAGAAACATGAGTATAATTAATTTAAAATACATATACGCTCAAGCAGGTTGGATATTTTTACGCACTGCACAAGAAAATTATCAAAATACAAGTTTTTCCGAATTAATTTCTTTGGCAAAACATGTAGAACAAGAAGTAATTCAAGGTAACATAGACCCAAGTGCTTTGCAAATTTTTCAACTACCAGCACTACTGTATTACACTTATCAAAAAGACAATGGTATCAAAAGAAAAAATCTAAAGTTCATTATGGTTAGCACATCATTTTGGCATCGCGTATACAGTAAATTATTTACAGATTTGAATGTTACTTCCCAAAAAATGATTGCATTACTCAAAAAAAGTTCAGCCTACCGTTTCCATATGGCATTTTCAAAATTTAAGAATCGAACAGCAATAGCAGAAGAAGTACTCCAAAATTACTGTCCAAATATAACTGACTATACATCGAATGTCATTGACTACAAAAATAATCCAGAGGAATATTATTGTAACAAGCAATTACTACCGAACATTAATCAAATGTTCTCGAAACAAATTGAAAGCATTGCCGAAAAGTATTACTACTATGAAAAGGATTTAATTAACCATGTATTTGATGAGGATTTAAAAAAATTTATCGATCAAACAAACGTAACAATTAAACCGATTAAAGATTTTTGGAAGTATCAATGTTTTAGATGTGCTATCCTCTCGGGTAGACCAACACTAAGTAGTGGAATAGACTTATTTCAAATTAGCGATGGAGGTGAGAAAAAACAGATATATGCTCTAATTCGCAGTACGAATGGTATGAAATTGGTTCCTGCTACAGATATTAATTCCTTTCTTATTAATGAAATTGGACTAAATGAACGAGCACAACTTGACATTCCGTTCATGGCCGAAGATATGAAATCCGCATCGGATGATAGTGATTTTAATACATTTGTAACATACATTGCTAAATATAGAGAAAAGAAAGTTTTGGCTAATCTAAAAAATATTGGTTATGAAGCTACAACGACAGAAAAGGTGTTAAATTTTTTTAAACATCTGATTCCGTTTTACTCATGTGCTGAATCAATTAATGGAGATTTTGGTACAACGGAAAAAGTCATGAATTGTATCTTCGATTCTTTAGTAATGCTTCCAGTTGTTGGAGTACTGACATCAGTAGGTATGAAAGTTACCACAACTGCGATGAAATCAGCATTACTTAGTTTGGGTGTAGAGATACAGACTTTAAGTTTAAGAGAGGCCTTTAGAACTGTTTTAAAAACTGGATTCCGTTTATTAGCAGTAAATATCATTGACACCTTTTCACAAATAATAACAAAGCAATTTTTTAGGGATTTTGGTATTGCAATTCTTCGAGCATTAGATCCAGGAGTAGAATTTGTGTACATATTAACCAAAGCAGGCGCTACGGCACTGATGAAGAGCTTAAAATTGATCAGAAATAAGTTTTCCGCTAAAGGTCTAAGAAATCCATCAACTGTTAGTGATGTTAAGATAGGTGACTATAAGGGCCATACAGTTCAAGTGCAAAGCATATCAGGACAGGATGGATTTGGATTTAAAAGAATCGATTTTCAAGATAAAATTGTAGAGTTAAGGAGAATTCGAGGTTACTCAAATGAGATGCCCGTTGTAGTTGTAAACGAAGGGAGAGTGCGAAAGAAATTTAAAATACTAGATCTAGAGACTGGGAAACTTGGTCCTACGGATTGGGAAGAAGAAGGTGGTGTTTTGGTGGTAGCAAATAAACCTTTAACTGTTCGTTTAAGAACTATCATTACAGAAGGACTTAGTGGTAGAGGAGCTTATCAGATAGCTGTTGTCAGATTAAATATTTTGGATAAAATTAAATTTAATGAAAAAATAGCGCTTGATTCAGTAAGTGACCCTGTAAAGAATAAAAATTTTGAAGAAACTTTAAAGTTTTATGTTTTGGAAAATTCCAACAAACAGCCTGCAGACATTGTCGAACATTGGTTGGAGCATAAGACTGTACCGATATGGTGTGAAGAATATAAAATATCTGATAGGGAACTTTTTAGGTCATTGAGATTTGCAGAATTTGTGGAAGATTCGAATCTGTATCAAGGACAGGCTGTTAATCAAATTATGGATTTATATGGACAGCAGTATACAAGAGATATCATCAATGTTGACGTGGATTCGTTGTCTAACTTTTATTTTGATAAACAGCTTCACAATACCATAGCATTTAATGACCAATTTGCAATAGCTAATTTTATTACTTCTGGATATAGTAGAATACATTTTGATGATTTAGAAGCTTGGAATATGAAACGTGCATTGTATAAAGCAGCATTAAGGCAATATGATGATGTTTCCTGTCATGGGTTGATTATGACGAATTTCATCTCAACTGATATGACAATTCCGACTGATTTTTTTCCTCTAAGTAAAGGTCAAATTTTTGAAACAAACCAATTTACCATTCTTAAAAAGTATGACAATAGTTTAATCTCTTCTGTCGATGTGTTGAAGTATAATTCTAAGGAGGTTATGAATTATATATATCTCGATGAACATTTTTTGGCAGTATATTTGTTTAAATATTTGCCCTTTAAATATGATCAAGCTATTCTTCTTCCTGGAGTGAAATTAAGGTTAGAAAATTGGGAATTGAAAATAATTGATGGAGAGAGCGTTATTTTGATGCAATGGAGAAGTCTTCCTATTGATCATTCTAAATGGTTGGCAGATACATTTAACAAAATTAAATTTGCAATAGATAAGGAGCAGCTTGCAAATTCTGTTCTTATGGATTTCGATACAAGTTTGTTATAAATTTTTGATTTCAAACTATTTTTATTTATAAATTTTGTAATTCAAATCCCTTAACGACCTACAGAACTTGAGAGAAAATACCCAGCTTTATAATCCGCAGGTTTTTAGTGTTGCTACTTAAAAATCATTGAAAAACAAAATTTTGTAGTTGTAAATTTCAGATTACACAAATTTTCTAGATTATGCTACTAGTTAAGTATATTGTACGAAATAAAAAATTCCTGATTCTTTTTAGTAATATAATTTTTTTAATGGCTATAAAATTTTAAGAAATCTATCATTAGACATGGAGTTTCTAAATTTTTAAAATCATATATTGACCGAGTTATCATGGTTTAAATTCACGTGTCTTTTTGAATTGTACTTGTTCAATCCGTACCGAAAATTTCCAATGGTACTGTCTATTTATTTTTTTAAACTATAGCAATTTAACATCGAACATATATTTACACAAATGGTAAGGTCGTATTTGTATGGTTGGATATATTTGTAACATGCGTGTGAATTGTCAAGGTTAATTTATGTATAAGACAACATAATTAAAATTTATTCAAAAAAAGTTAAGGATTTCCACGTGTTAATCAAAAAGGTAAAATTAAAAACATTAAAATTTGTTTAAATTCTATGCAAAAATAATAAAATTATAATTCTATTAAGAAAATTTTTGGCATTCAATGCGGACGGTAAAATTATAAAGAATTATTTGATCGTTTTCATTTTTCAAGTTTAGCTGAAAATAGAATTTTTGATATAGTTCTTTTTTTTAAAAAAAATATTGTCTTCTCAAATATATGCGCCTAAACTATTTTTATTATTAACTTTGCACGACGCCTTCAAGATTTGTTATTATTCATATTATATTAGTTGTTTTAAGCGCTGAACATTTTAGTTTAAAATCTTTTTTCATTATAAAGAAATTTTGGTTTTCGCAAAACACATTTTCCCCTACTATACATATACTATACACTATACTATACATACATTTTAAAAGTGACTACAATGTATTTTAAGATAATTCTTTTTGCAGTGGATATTAGAATTTTCAGGATAAAAAGCAATTAATAAAAAAAAAATGTTTAACATTACTATTAAATTAATTTCGTATGGATTAAGATTGTGTAAACTTTCATGAATATTCTATACTTTATTATCTGTTTAGCACTAGTTTATTTTATAATTTTTTAAAGTCGTAAGAAATAAAGATATAAATACATGCTTTTATATACAGATAACATAAATATATTTAAGCAGTTGTTTAATACACGTCTATATTCAAAATTCATTCCTTTCTGCATGTCTTCTTTAAAAGGGTAAAATTAATAATTTCAATTTAAGGTTAAAATGAAAATAATAGGTAACCAAAAAAAATTCTCAAAGTATGTATGCAAATTATGTTTATATTTTAATTTAAAAACGTGCATAAAATTGTAATTATTGTTTTTTAATTTCTAGATCTGTTTGAATGTTTATAAAATAAATATATGTAGTAATTTAAAGATAAAAATTTAAATTTAAAAAAATATAATTCAATCAAACAATAGCAGAAATCATTGATTAAATAAATAAATTATAATTTTTGAAAGAACAATTTTTTAACAATTCTTACTTCATATACTGTTGCGAATAATTCCATATAAGTTCCTCAATTGGTATTAAAAAATGATGAACTAAATCAGGTTCATTAACGCTCATTAAACCTCGTCTGACCAAGTAAGATATTGCTCAACCTTGAGTGGGGCGGATCCAAGTTATCGAACTCAGAGTAACACTACCTTTTGTAACATTGCAAGGTAGCAAATTCAGTTTAGTAACAAAGTTCACAGAAAATATAACATTGATTATTCTAACTAAATTGTTGTTTAATAAAACTCATCGACAATGGAAGAACGAGATCTTCTATGTCGTGACTCTATAGTGTTTGAGTAGATTGTTAATATGTAAATGGATATAAAGAACTACAAGAGGAATTCAGAAATATATAATAATTAAACAAAAAAATAAAAAGAGAATTCTGGAACCATTATATAACAAAATATTTTTAAAAAAGGATACAAAAGATTTAATATTTCGTGAGTGAAACTTTATTTACATACACACACTATTAAATTTATAACACGATGTTTTGAAATTTAAATATTATTCAATAAATAATTCATTAATTCTTTCAGATTGATAAAAAAGATAAATTGCTTGCACGCTGATTTGCAAAATTCAATAGATTATATTTGTCATCAACATCAAAATGAATAACACTAATATTTTTAGTAGCCCATGGGAAAATACACAATTTTTTTCCGTTATGAAAACAATAATTATACTCGGTAAAATATTGTACAACGATACAGAATTACATACAATAGAAATTGAACCTATCCCCATTATCAATGCTCTCTGTACATTTCTGGACAAAAATCGTTATAACGAAATTAAAATTTTAGATCTAGGACATAAATTGCTACAAGACACGGAATTCTATGGATCAAAACCAAACGAAAGTCTTCATATAAGATACGTAAATGCCATGCTGAACAATATCATTGCGAACACTGTATTTTCAAAATTTGGCAATACATTTGGATATTTGTCAGCAGTAGTAAATTCAACACGCGATTTAAAATTGCCAACTGTAAAAGAGAAAATAATAAAAAATCTGCACAGGCAAACATTTCTGAATGACAATGGCACGTTTAGCTTGCTCACTAATACAACAATTGAAAGAATAACAGAAAACATAATTTTTCCACTTTTTCCACAACCCGAAAGGAACATGAGTATAATTAATTTAAAATACATATACGCTCAAGCAGGATGGATATTTTTACGCACTGCACAAGAAAATTATCAAAATACAAGTTTTTCCGAATTAATTTCTTTGGCAAAACATGTAGAACAAGGAGTAATTCAAGGTAACATAGACCCAAGTGCTTTGCAAATTTTCCAACTACCAGCACTACTGTATTACACTTATCAAAAAGACAATGGTATCAAAAGAAAAAATCTAAAGTTCATTATGGTTAGCACATCATTTTGGCATCGCGTATACAGTAAACTATTTACAGATTTGAATGTTACTTCCCAAAAAATGATTGCATTACTCAAAAAAAGTTCAGCCTATCGTTTCCATATGGCATTTTCAAAATTTAAGAATCGAACAGCAATAGCAGAAGAAGTACTCCAAAATTACTGTCCAAATATAACTGACTATACATCGAATGTCATTGACTACAAAAATAATCCAGAGGAATATTATTGTAACAAGCAATTACTACCGGACATTAATCAAATGTTCTCGAAACAAATTGAAAGCATTGCCGAAAAGTATTACTACTATGAAAAGGATTTAATTAACCATGTATTTGATGAGGATTTAAAAAAATTTATCGATCAAACAAATGTGACAATCAAACCGATTAAAGATTTTTGGAAGTATCAATGTTTTAGATGTGCTATCCTCTCGGGTAGACCGATACTAAGTGATGGAATAGATTTATTTCAAATTAGCGATGGAGGTGAGAAAAAAATGATATATGCTCTAATTCGCAGTACGAATGGTATGAAATTGGTTCTTGCTACAGATATTAATTCCTTTCTTATTAATGAAATTGGACTAAATGAACGAGCACAACTTGACATTCCGTTCATGGCCGAAGATATGAAATCCGCATCGGATGATAGTGATTTTAATACATTTGTAACATACATTGCTAAATATAGAGAAAAGAAAGTTTTGGCTAATCTAAAAAATATTGGTTATGAAGCTACAACGACAGAAAAGGTGTTAAATTTTTTTAAACATCTGATTCCGTTTTACTCATGTGCTGAATCAATTAATGGAGATTTTAGTACAACGGAAAAAGTCATGAATTGTATATTCGATTCTTTAGTAATGCTTCCAGTTGTTGGAGTACTGACATCAGTAGGTATGAAAGTTACCACAACTGCGATGAAATCAGCATTACTTAATTTGGGTGTAGAGATACAGAATTTAAGTTTAAGAGAGGCCTTTAGAACTGTTTTAAAAACTGGATTCCGTTTATTAGCTGTAAATATCATTGACACCTTTTCACAAATAATAACAAAGCAATTTTTTAAGGATTTTGGTATTGCAATTCTTCGAGCATTAGATCCAGGAGTAGAATTTGCGTACATATTAACCAAAGCAGGCTCTACGGCACTGATGAAGAGCTTAAAATTTATCAGAAATAAGTTTTCCGCTAAAGGTCTAAGAAATCCATCAACTGTTAGTGATGTTAAGATAGGTGACTACAAGGGCCATACAGTTCAAGTGCAAAGCATATCAGGACAGGATGGATTTGGATTTAAAAGAATCGATTTTCAAGATAAAATTGTAGAGTTAAGGAGAATTCGAGGTTACTCATATGAGATGCCCGTTGTAGTTGTAAACGAAGGGAGAGTGCGAAAGAAATTTAAAATACTAGATCTAGGGACTGGGAAGCTTGGTCCTACGGATTGGGAAGAAGAAGGTGGTGTTTTGGTGGTAGCAAATAAACCTTTAACTGTTCGTTTAAGAACTATCATTACAGAAGGACTTAGTGGTAGGCCAATTGCTAACATAGCCCATTACAGAGCAAAAGTTATGGATTTTTCCAAAATGTTACAAATCTCGGCTCTATTATTAGTCAGTGACCCCTTAAAAAAACAATTTTTGGTAGAAACTTTAAAGTATTATGTTTTGGAAAATCCAAATAAGCTTCCTAGGCATTTGGTTGAACATTGGTTGGAGCATGGTACGATGCCAATTTGGTGTGAAGATTATAAAATAACAGATGTGGAACTTTTTGAGTCATTAAGATTTAAATCATTCGTTGAAGATTTGAAACTTGATCAGGAAAAGGCTGTAAATCATATATTAGATTTATATGGACAGCAGTATACAAGAGATGTCATCAATGTTGACCTGGATGCGTTATCTAATTTTTATTTTGATAAACAGCTTCACAATATCATAGCATTTAATGACCAATTTGCATTAGCTAATTTTATAACTTCTGGATATAGTAGAATACATTTAGATGATTTAGAAGCTTGGAGTATGAAACGTGCATTGTATAAAACAGCATTAAGGCAATATGATGATGCTTCCTGTCTTGGGTTGATTAAGTCGAGTTTCATTTCAACTGATATTACACTTTCAGCTGATTTTTTTCCACTAAGTAAAGGTCAAATTCTTCAAGTGAACCAGTTTACCATTCTGAAACAACATGAGAGTGTTTTGTTCCCTTATTCGGAAGTAATGAAGGATTCTTCTGATAATCAGATTTTGCATTATATTAAACTTGATCATCATTGTTTGGCAGTGTATTTACAGAAATATTTGCCTTTTAAAAATGATGAAGCTGTTCTACTTCCTGGAGTGAAATTAAGCTTAGAAACCTGGGACTTAAGAATAATTGAAGGAAAGAGTGTTCTTGTGATGAAATGGAGAAGTATTTATTTTGATTCTTCTAAATGGCTAGCAGATACCTTTAACAAAATGGTACTTGCAATGGGTGAGGGCAATCTTGTAAATAATGTTCTTATGGATTTCGATACAAGCTTGTTATAAGGATTTGAATTTCGTTCTGAATATTTCACTTTATTTTCATTTATAAATTTTGTACTTTAATAGGATCGGCAGAATTTCAGAAATAGTGTTTAGCGTAACTCAAATTGTTAAATTTTTATGTAACTTTGTATGTATTCTGAAGATAATAATGTCTTTGATTAAAAACCTAAATACCATTTTTAAACAATTAAAAATAGGGAACCAATGGGAATGACTATTTTTAAAAATTGATTTTATATCCTTGAAATTTATTAGTTGGAGAATTTTCAGCTTGTTGATTAAAAATTAAAAAATTATTTTGTACGTTTTTAAAATATTTACTGTGTTTGACTGTATGTAGAATAAGAAATAAATGTAAATATTAATTAAAGTTAGATTTTACTTAATATTAAAAATTATATATTTTATTACTAAAATAGTTGTTAATTTTATAAAATTAAAAATGTGAAATTTAAGGTTTAACGTAATTTAAAAATTTGTCCCTCTAAAGTTACATTCCATTTTATGTAAATAATTTAATAATATTGCTAAATTAAATTTGAAGTAGTCAGTTTTAACAATTTACAAATAACATTAATATTTACACAATTGAACGAATAACAGTAGTTTCGTCATGCACACCTACTTTCAATGTTATCAGCTAATATTAAAACATGTTTGAGAAATAAGTTTTCAATTGTAAATGTATTTAATCGAGTTCAAAATTTTAATAAAATTAGCTTCTTTGATTCCAGTAACGTTTTAGAAAATTTGTTAAAACTATTTACAGTAGAAGAAGAAATTCAATGAATATAGAAAACAAGCATTTTTCAAGTATGTAAGAAAAAATATACTACTTTAATATTTTTTTTTAATGTATATATATTAATTTTATTTTTAACTCGTTTTTATTCCCAATGCAATGTTTATATCCTACTTTTTTATTTGTATTTTTATAATAACGCGTTTTTGTACTATCAGTCCCTTAGTTAAGTTCAGCTAAAATAAAGAAGAAAAAAATATCATCAACCTCTCAATTAAGTTTAGCTAAAAAAAGAAGAATAGTGGTAATTTTGTTAAATAGCAACCTGAAATTAAACACTATGCTGATTTAAAAACATAACCTAAAAATCCAATTTAACTTCTTCTGTTTCTGGAGACGAATTTGAATAAATGCCATATCTTTTTTTCTTTATTTTTTAAATTGTTTTTATTAAATAATTAAAGCACTTTTTAAATCATTAAATAATTATCAGCTATTAGGAATTTCCTTAAATAAATTTTTGTATGGAATTTTTCAAAACAAAAAAATTTTACGTTTTTGCAGATTAATGTTCAAATATTATAAGCGAACATTTTTTTGGGCCTATCGTTGCTCAAATGCAAATGAATTTTAATATATTAATCAATCAGAAATATATATATCACTCAAGCTAAAATGAATACGGACAATTTGATCATCAGTCCTTTAGCAAATACTGAATTCTTTTCAGTCATAAACTCTATAATTATACTACGTGGATTTTTGTTCAACAATACACAATGGACAATAGTAGGCAAAATTGATGCAATACCAATGATAAATGATCTTTGTGAATTTTTGGATAAAAACAATGAAAAGGAATATAATATTTTAGCTTTGGGACACAAACTTTTAGAAGAAACGGATTTTTTTGGATCCAAAAAAAACGAAAGTTTGAGTTTGAATTTCGTCAATGGAATGTTTGATCAAATTATTGCGAACATTGTATTTTCAAAATTTGGTAATACATTTGGATATTTGGCATCTATAGTGAATTCAGCAATTGATTTAAAATATACATCTATTAAAGAGGAAATTTTGAAAAATCTTCAAAGGCAAAAATTTCTCAACGATAAAGGAACATTTTTTACACTTACTAACATAACAATTGCAAGAATAACAGATAAAATAATTTTTCCTCTCTTTCCTCATTCAAAAATGAACATGGAGATCATTCATTTTGAATACTTATATGCTCAAGCTGGATGGCTACTGTTACGCAGTGCTAAAAGAAAAATTCATAATACCAGTTTTTCAAAATTAATTACCCTAGCACAAAATGTAGAACAAGGAATAATTGAAGGTGAAATTGATCCAAGTGCATTGCAAATTTTTCAACTTCCTGCATTGCTGTACTATACTTATCAGAAGGAAAATGGTATTAAGAGAAAGAATTTAAAAAGCCTTATGGTAAGCACAAATTTTTGGCACCGAGTATATAATCAATTCTTTACCGATTTAAATCTAACAACTGAAAAAATGATTACTTTTCAAGAAAGAAATCCATCTTATCAATTTCAAATGGCTTTTGCAAATTTTAAAAATCGAACTGCCCTTGCGGATGAAATTTTGCGAAAAAATTGCTCGAATATAACTGACTATGAAAGGGAAATTAATATTTATAAAAATAATCCAACGGATTATTATTGTAATATGCAATTACAACCAAACGTTAATGAAATATTTTTTAAACAAAATAGAATTATTGCCGAAAAGTATTACAACTATGAAATGTATTTAATCGATCGGGTGTTTGATGAAGATCTAAAAAATTTTATTGATCAAAAGAACGTAACAATTAAACCGATTGAAGATTTTTGGAACAATCAGTGTTTTAGATGTGCTATCCTCTCGGGTAGACCGATACTAAGTGATGGAATAGATTTATTTCAAATTAGCGATGGAGGAGAGAAGAAAATGATATATGCATTAATTCGTAGTACAAATGGTATGAAACTGGTGCCTGCTACAGATATGAATTCGTTTTTACAGAATGAAATAGGACTAAATACTAGGGCGAAATTGGACGTACCTTTTATGGCTGAAGATATGAAATCCGCATCGGAGGATGATAATTTTAATACATTTGCAACATACATTGCTAAATATAGAGAAAAGAAATTATTGGCTAATCTAAAAAGTGCAGGTTACGAGGCTACAACAGTTGAGAATGTGGCAAATTTTTTCAAACATCTGATTCCGTTTTACTCATGTGCTGATGCGATAAATGACTCTGATACTTCAACACACGCAGCTGTTATGGCCTGTATATTCGATTCTTTAGTATTCTTACCAGGTCTTGGACTTGGTACATCCGCTGGTATGAAAATTACTTCGGCCACAATGAAATCAACAGCATTAAAATTAGGAGCACATATGGAGGCGTTGACTTTAAAAGAAGCCTTTAAAGCTGTAATGAAAATTGGATTTCGTATTATTGCCACTGACATCATTGACTCATTCTCACAAATAATCACAAAGGAATTCATTCAAAATTTTGGAATTACTATCCTTCGTTCGTTGGATCCGGGAATTGAGTTCTCGTACATGTTAACTAAAGGTGGTGTAAAAACGCTTCTAAAAAATTGGAACTCGCTTAAAAGTCAATTTTCCATTAAATATGTACAAAATCTGAAAATTGTCACTAAAATCAAAATTGGAACTTACAAGGGATATGATGTACATGTGCAAAGTATTAACGAAAAAGATGGTTTTGGATTGAAAACAATTGATTATCATGGTAGAATTGTAGAATTAAGAAGAATTCGAGGTTATACTGATGAAATGCCCGTTGTTGTAATTAGTAACGGAAGAAAACATAACAAATACAAAATAATAGATCTAGAAACAGGGAAACTTGGTAATATGGAATGGAAAGAGGGTGATAAATGTTTGATAAGTGAAGTTAAACCCTTAAGAGTTCGTTTGAAAATTATTCAAGTTGAAGGTCTCAGTGGTCGTGGTGGTGTAATGAGATTAAAGGCTCTTGAAAGGATAAAAGACGAAAGAAATTTTGCTGTTCACGAAATAAAAGAGCCGGCTGATAAACAAATTATTATTGACTCTTTGGAGCAATATGTTTTGGAAAATCCTACTCAACGAAATCCTATCAGCATTGTAAAATATTGGTTAAAATATAAATCATTACCACCATGGTGTGAAGAATATAAACTAATTGATTCAGTTCTTTTTAGAAATTTAAGATTTAAATCCTTTCTTGAAGTAAGTTTATTAAAACGTGAGGAGGCAATGAAACGTGTTACGGATATTTATGGACAGCAATATATTAGAGATGTAATAAATGTTGATGTTGACCAGTTGTATGATTTCTATATTTCTCATCAGCTTCACGATGCAATTACGTTTGATGATCAGTTTGCATTGGCTAATTTTATAACTACTGGAAGAAATAGAATACATTTGGATGATTTTGAAGCTTTGAATATGAAAATTGCACTTTATAAAACAGCATTAAGACAATATGATAATCAAAATATTATCAAAATGACTGATCACATTTTTTATTCAGTTGAACTGAAACATTATACTGAGTTTTCTTTACCTTTTGAATCAAAAATGTATGATTTTGGTCAGATCACTATTTTGAATCGTCAAATTGATGAGTTGCTTACAGTTTTTAAAACTACTAATGATAATTCTTTAATAAAAATCTTGCATAAAGTTAAACTTCATCATCATTGTCTAGCTGTATATTTGGAAAAATATTTACCTCTAAATTCTCAACATGTTGTTCTTTTGCCTAATATTAAATTATCCCTCACTACTTGGAGATATAATAAAATTAATGGAATGAATATACTTGTAATAAATTGGAAGAGTGTTGATTTTGATCAATCTAAATGGTTAGCGGACACAACAAATAAAATTAAAAGTTTAATTGATCGATCGTAATTATTGGAGATTATTGTTAATTAATTAATACAATGTACATTCAAATCTATTTCAAAAGATCAACGAAATTAATCCACGTGTAAAATAAAATACAATAAACATATTTATATAAGTAAATCAACAATTATACTGATATTAAATACCTATCTATATGAAAGAAATATTTATTATTCAGACTTTTAAAAGTATTTAAATTATGTATTTAAGCACAAAATAGTAATAGATATTTTAACACTGTTTAATTAAAATTTTTAGAATAAATATTTTTTTAAAAAGTTTAAATTCAAATACTTTTTCTTCTAAAAATGTTTCATCTAAAAGGTACATAAAAATTAAATATTATAGAATTTATTTAATAAAATAAAAATATTTTAAAAACATGTACGTAATAATTTATAAATATAAACATACGAAAAAATTAATACCTACGTAAAGAAAAAAATAGTTTATATCTGTCAATAAAATTTTTAAGTTAATATAAAATAATGTTAAAAAATAAACAAGTGAAAAAACTAATTATATTTTAATTAAAAAAAAAATATTCACCATTAAATATTCATAGTTAAAATTACAAAATTTACATCCAATATTTACTAAAAAAGAAGTTCAATAAATTAAGCAACATAATTATTTATTCTTTCAGATTAATGATATAAATAATCACAATCAACCAGATAGAAATTGATGACTACTGCTAGAAAAGTATATTTTTAATTATCTCTATTTTTCAAAAAATTTATTGTCAAAAATGAACAACGCAACACTGTTCATCAGTCCTTTGGAAAATACACAATTTTTTTCCGTTATAAATTCAATAATTATACTGGGTATAAAATATTGTACACTGAAAATCAAATAGAAAGTAACAACACTGTAAAGAACCTATTCCAATAATAAATAGTCTCTGTCAACTTTGCACATAAATAACACTGGCCAACAAAATTTTGGTGCCCAAAGGGTTACAGCCGATTCTTATAGGATTTTGTCCGTAGAATCCGTATCTGGCCATGAAAATGCTGGATTGGCTCTAGTTTTCGAGCAATTTAGGTTTAAAGGTGTCAAAAACTGCATTTTTGGCACTTTTTGAACGTCTGTAAAACAATCAAGCTACACAATAAAACAGTCCGCATACGACGAAATGAAAGCTTAATTATTACCCTTTGAGACCCTAAAACAAAAGATTAGGTAATTTAAACTTTAAAATATTGGGAACAGTTTTTGAACTCGCGGATGCCCGAATTATGCTCAATGCTTTCACGTGCATTTCCTAATGCATAGGACTGAACTTAAATTGTTTTTTTAGTATTTTTGGGCCGTTGACTACGAATTTGAAGTCAGGTTTCAAAATTTCAAAATGGCGGATCCAATATGGCGGACACGAAAATTAAAAAATCGTTGGGTTTGTCATAAAACTTGGTACTGGGGAGTTTTCGGGGTCGCTGATTACGAATTTAAAGTCAGATTTCAAAAATTCAAAATGGCGGATTCAACATGTCGGACACGAAGATTAAAAATTGTTGGGTTTGCACTAAAACTTGGTACAGGGGAGTTTTTGGGGTCGCTAATTACAAATTTAACGTCAGATTTTTAAAATTTTAAATGGCGGACCTAATATGACGGACACAAAAATTAAAAATCTTTCTGATGGTTATGAAATTTGTTATTGAGAAATTTTTAGGGTTGCTGATTTTAAATATAAAGTCAGATTATGAGATTTCTGTAAGTTCCGATTTTTCGGTATTATAGAGTGAGCACTGACAAAATCGTTGAAAATGGGAAATGTATTTTTTCAGTATGTAAAGCTTGTTTTTTTAAAAAGTTTAAGTTATTTTTGGGTCCGCCATTTTGATTTTTTGAAATTTGACCTAAAATTCATAATCAGCTACTCCGAATATTCCCCAGGACCAAATTTCATGAAAATGCGAACGACTTTTAATTTTTGTCTCCGCCATATTGTATTCACCATTTAAAATTTTTGAAATCTAACTTTAAATTCGTAAATAGCGACACCAGAAACTCCCTAGAATCATGTCTCATGACAATTCGAAAGATTCTCAATTTCTTTTGTCTGCCATATTGAATCCGCTATTTTAACTTTTTAAAATCTGACTTTATATTCGTAATCAGAGACCCTGAAAACTTTCGAATACCAAGTTTTATCAAAATACAAACTTTTAATTTTTATATCCGCAAAATTGAATCCGTCAGTAAAATTTTTTAAAATATGACGTTAAATTTGTAATCAGCGACCCCAAAAACTCCCCTGTACCAAGTTTTTTGGCAAACCCAAAAATTTTTAATTTTTGTGTCCGCCATGTTGGATCCGCCATTTTGAATTTTTGAAATCTGACTTTAAATTCGTAATCAGCAACCTCAAAAACTCCCCAGTACCAAGTTTTATGACAAACCCAACGATTTTTTAATTTTCGTGTCCGCCATATTGGATCCGCCATTTTGAAATTTTGAAACCTGACTTCAAATTCGTAGTCAACGGCCCAAAAATACTAAAAAAACAATTTAAGTTCAGTCCTATGCATTAGGAAATGCACGTGAAAGCATTGAGCATAATTCGGGCATCCGCGAGTTCAAAAACTGTTCCCAATATTTTAAAGTTTAAATTACCTAATCTTTTGTTTTAGGGTCTCAAAGGGTAATAATTAAGCTTTCATTTCGTCGTATGCGGACTGTTTTATTGTGTAGCTTGATTGTTTTACAGACGTTCAAAAAGTGCCAAAAATGCAGTTTTTGACACCTTTAAACCTAAATTGCTCGAAAACTAGAGCCAATCCAGCATTTTCATGGTCAGATTCGGATTCTACGGACAAAATCCTATAAGAATCGGCTGTAACCCTTTGGGCACCAAAATTTTGTTGGCCAGTGTAATCAAAGAGAGGAGACAATTTTTGAGCTTGGACATAAATTACTACAAGAAAAGGATTTGTTTCTTTCGAAAAAAAATGAAACTCTTGGTTTAAATTTTATTGCAATGTTGAATAATATTATTGCAAACACTATATTTTCAAAATTTGACAATACTTTTGGATATTTGTCCGTAATTGTAAATTCAACAAGCGATTTAAAATTGTCTTCTATAAAACAAAAAAATTTATCAAAATCTTTGTAGACAAAATTTTATCAACGATGCAGGTAGAGTTTTTATACTTTCAAACATAACAATCACAAGAATTATCGAAACCATTATTTTTCCCCTATTTCCCCAACCGAAAAAAGATATGGAAATAATTCACTCAAAATACAGATACGCTCAAGCAGGAAGGATACTTTTACGCACTGCACAAGAAAATGATCAAAATACAAGTTTTTCTGAATTAATATCTTTAGCAAAAAATGTGGAACAAGGAGTACTTCAAGGTAAAATAAATTCAATTGCTCTGCAAATTTTTCAACTACCGGCACTTCTATATTACATACTTATCAGAAAGATAATGGAATTAAGAGACATAATTTAAAAAGCATTATGATGAGCAAAACACTTTTGGCATCGAGTATATAGTAGATTTTTTACGGACGTCAATATTACTTCGGAAAAAGCAATTATATTTTACAAAAGGAAACTCCATTTTACCAATTTCAGAGAGCATATTTTAAATTTAAAACAAGAACAGTTTTAGCAGAAAAATTTCTTCGAAAAAGCTGTTCCAATGAAACGGACTATGCGTCAAAAATCAGTGAGTACAAAAATACTCCAGAGGAATATTACTGCAACGAGCAATTACTATACCAGACATAAATAAAATGTTCTGGAATCAAAATGAAATAATTGCTAGAAAATACTTTTTCTTGGAGGAAAGTTGCATTCATCAAGTATATTTGAAGAGGATGTAAAAAATTTTATTAATCCAAAGAACGTGACAATTAAACCGATTAAAGATTTTTGGAAGAATCAATGTTTCATAGATGTGCTATCCTTTTCCACAGACCAACACAAAGTGATGGAATAGACCTATTTCAAATTAGCGATGGAGGTGAAAAGAAAATAATTTATGCATTAATCAGAAACGAAAATGATGTGTCACTAATAACTGCTTTGGAGATGAATTCTTTTTTGAATCAAATCGGACCAAACAGTCGTGCAAAATTAGATATACCGTTTATGGCAGAAGATATTGAAGCGATATTCTCTTCTTGAGAAATGTCGATGAGCTCCTGAATAATGTGACCGATTCGGCTCCCGTATATTTATCAAATTTAACTTTAATTTCTGTGTTCTCTAATAATTGGTCAGGGGTGGGGGCACTGGCGGGTTGAATCGTCGTATCGATGAGATCAATGCGAAGAATTAATTACTTGACTTTTGCAATTCGTCAACGATTGATTCAACCACGGCTACGCTCTCACGTGCCGGCCGAGGACACGGAAAGGTAGTTATTGTAAATTTTGTTTAAATATCTTTCTTAAATTTATAAAATGTCTATTATTTTTATTTATCGGTGATTTTTGTTATTTTTGTTGTTAAATAAAGTGTGGCCGTTTGTGTCATTTGGGTCTTATTCTAAAAATGGATAAATTAATACAATTCGTGACGGGATGAACATAAATTGGATAACTGGAACCGGAATCATTACCAGGTGTTCTTCTAGATAAGTGAATGGTTTAATTCGTGGATATCTTCCGGAAAATGATCCCTAAATGTCGTCCGTCATCTCATCATGTATTTGGATGAGTACAAGAGATTTATTTTTATTATTTATACCATTATTTCTCAAATTGATTGAATGACCATAAGAATGGAGAGTGTTTGATAGTCGTTGGACAAATTGACGAATATTTAATTTTATTATATCTTTTCATTGATCGCAACTATTTATATGATTTGATATTTTCTAAAAGACAAGGTTTATTTATATGTTTGTATTGAATTTGAATGTGTGTATGTTTATTATTTGTTATATTTATATATTTGAATTCCTGACGTCAGGTCGATTTTTGTGTTGAATTATTGTTGATAATATAAAAATTTATATTGGACGGATAAATTAGTGTTTTTCTTTTATAATTGAGTAGCTGCCTGCAATAACTCGCCGAGCGCTTGGCCGATCGCTCTAACGCC